TCCAGTGAGGCCAAAGGCCCAACCAATGAACTTCACTTCTTGGCTATCTTGCCATTTTGGAGAAGGGGGGCCAACTGATTATGTTTCAGCACAATTTAGCAGTGATTTATTTCTGATAAATCTATAATTTTTCAGGGCTTAGTTCTTGTGTTCCACATTGTGTCAACTGGAGCTCAGCTGGAGCAGGTCCATCCAAGGTGGCTTCATGCACATCACTGACACCTCAGTGGGGCCACTGGAATAGCTGAGGCTTGGCCAGGCCTCTCTTCATATGGTTTGTTTCTGTACATGCTGACTCTGACTAATATGTAGCTTGTAGATAAACAGCATGTTTGTATAAAAATTTTAGGAACTAACTTCAGAAGGTACAGACTCTGACCTTCAGTCATCCCAGTTCCAATGTAGAACCAGGATGACATAGAACCAGGATAATGAAGACCAGGATGCCGCACATCACTTGCCCCGTTTCAAGGTCCTTATCCGGATGGATGTACTGTGCTGGCCTGCACATAGGGAACTTTTCAACCCCTCCCCTTGATTTCTTTGTTCGCTTTCCCTCTGCCTCCTTATAAAAACCTCTGCCTGACTGAGATGGTGAGATGGGCTTTGGACAAGAGTCCCTCATCTTCTTGAGATGCTGACACTTGAATAAACCTCCTTCCTTTTGCACCAGCACTTGTCTCACAAGTTTGGCTTTCGTGGCAGCAGGCAGCCAAACCTTAGTTCCAGTTATAAGAATAGCAGAAAGAAAGAGAAAAATTAGGTTCCTGGGGAGATAGAGTAGCTGCTACACCAGCCAGGGGACTGCCTGCTTCCAGAGTGTTTATATTAAAAACACACACAAACAAAACCATGGACCTCTATCTTACTTAAAACGATCAGTTGGTTTTCCCAGTGTCCATAGGCTCAAATGTGAACAACTAACAAAAGGAATCCCATAGCCTACAATGTGACATTTCCTGTTTTTTAAAAATATAACTAATAGCACATATCCTGATTAATTGGTAAGTTCTCTTAGAGCCATATAAAATATACTAAAGCAAGATTTAAGGTAAAAGGTTTAGTGACAAGTACTTTGCCTGTAAGATGCTAGGAGTCAGTCCCTGGGGCCTTAAGAGAAAGTATTAAGAGGCTACTTAATACTTCCATATAAACACTTACTGAGAAAAATACTTTTAATTTATTTTAGCCAAAACTAAGCTTGACTGCCTATTCTGAACCCCCCGCCATTTAGGAAGAAATAGTACACACAGTGCAAGTGGGGTCACCATATCTTCCCCCTCAGTTTCTTATTTCCCATTCAGTTAAGGATCCCTCTCCAATAATTGAGGCTTTATTGCCATGTCTGATTCATGGACACGTAGCCTGTCTTTTCCTCCCCATTCCAAAATTTAAAAACACCAAGTAAACAGGCAAGTTTTAAAACACAAGAATAGCCGAAACCGGTTTGGCTCAGTGGATAGAGCGTCGGCCTGCGGACTGAGGGGTCCCGGGTTCAATTCCGGTCAAGGGCATGTACCTGGGTTGCGGGCACATCCCCAGTGGAGATGTACACACAAGAATAGGGCCCTAGCCAGTTTAGCTCAATGGATAGAGCATCGGCCTGTGGACCAAAGGGTTCCTGGCTCAATTCTGGTCAAGGACACCC